TCAGCATCGGCTAACGGCACTTGGTCAAAGTTAACAGGCAGCTAGATAGGTTTATATGTATATACTGCCAAGAAACTGTTGCTCAAGTCAGCAGCAAAAAGTATTAGAACGAGAAACACAAATATTAACAACCACAAAAGCTAAAATAATTTTTGATTTTCGAATGATTACAGCTCCAGCATTTCAGGCCATTAAGTGTGCCATAAACCTGGCCAACGGGCAGCCAGACAGAATCAAAATACGCATTCGATTTGCTCGCCCGTTGACAACAATAAAGCAAATAAATCGTTAATAATTATGTACATATAAAATATATGGGGACTTAAGTAGAAGTTCTCATAATTAAAATCATTTTAATTTATGATTAATTATTCATGGTCAGCCGCTGGGTCCCTTTTAATTAAAGTAGTTTTTAAATTGAACATTTCCGAAGATTTTTAATTTTTGGTAAAAAAATTTATAATAATTAAATATAAATATAAAATAAAATAAATTAAAAACAAAAAAATATTTGTATAATTTCTGCATTAATATGAAATATAATATTTTTAAATATAAATATATATATTTAAATTTTATATAAATTAATTTAAATATTAATATTAATATTAATATTATTAAAATATATATTAGCTGCTGTGTTTAAAGTATTTTGAAAACTCTGTATTTATATAAAATATTTCTTATTTAAAAAAAAAACGTTACACGATTTAAAGTAAATGCATTATAAAAAATATATATATTTACTTCATTTAATATAAATAATACTTATACTTAAAAATAATAATAATAATACTTGAAATATTCAAATTTTAATCAGATGATAGAATAACCTTGGATAATACACAATATATTGATAACAAAGGCCATTCACGAAATGGTTAACAACAAAAATATTAATCAAGTACTTGATAAGATTACAATATTTGTTTACAAAAAAATTTGGCATGGAAATTTTTGCAGATAAGCATAGCGTTGCCATTGCATGTTTTGTTTTAAGAAATTCTTTACTTTAACTTATCTAAGAATCTTCCATAGAAAAAACCATAAATAAATTACATCAGATAAAGTTAGCCGCAATTTCTAAATGCCCATTTAGACTAATGTCATGGGAAATAGCTTTCATTAATTAATGCCGAAAAGCTCAAATACGAGTGCATTGTAGGTATGTCACCTTATATAGCCAACAGATACACGTATCGTATGTAAATTGGCCTGTTCCGGGCATAGTTCGGTATAAATAATATAAACGCTTGACAGACAAAGATGGAATTAACTAACTCACTGGGGTAATTGAGAGCCAAAGTAAGAACGTGACCATTGAATATGACTCACTGACTTGACGCAGGCATCGAAAACACAATTGAATTGTTCGCTGACATACATAAATAATGCTGCAGATGGCTGGCCAGCAAAACTATTTTCCGGCAAGTACTACGTGTAAACGTTTCATGTGCAGCAAACACGCTATATTAAGGCACCTCAATAAGAAAACAAAACTAAAGGATACAGACATCCTTTGCTACTGGAAGTTGTATATACAAAAATATAAATCAATCAATATTTTTCTTAGTGTATCTTTAAACAGTATCAACATTAAATACAAAATAATTCATTTATCTATTCTTACGTTTTAGTTTAGTTCATTAAGCGAGTTTATATTTTATTTTATAATAATTTACGGGAATTTCCTATGTTTGGGTTCAGTTCAATTTTTACAAAATTTGATTACAAATTAATTGATTCATAATTTATTTAAGAAATGGGCAGTAAATAAATGTGTATTGTCATTTCGGGCCCAATTTAGTTTGTTTAAAAATAGTTAAATTGTCAACCAGCTGTGCTTATTAAAGGCTTGGTAGACCCTAGGCGTTAGTTCATAAAGGTCACAGAAAATATATTGGTTTGTCTAGCTAATTATATTAAGTCCCAGGGGTCGTAAAGTTATTCTCATAAATTTATATGTACACATTTGTATATCTATTATATATATCTATTATATATAGGTATATCTATTTATAATATAAACAATAATTGTCATTTACATACGCAGGGCACAGCTGCAGACACATGTTCGTAGTTAAAAGGCAACGCCAACACAGTATAGCAATTATTATGGTCACAAATATAATTACATTGGTCACGGAAATATCAAATTAAGCTGCCTGCCCGTATATGCATATATATATATATATATGTAATCTATGTTTGTATAATATAGATTATTTTTATTTTTATTTGCTATTGTGAAATTTCGTTGCCTTACGACTAAAAGTTTCATTTTTTTCCGTTTAATCTTTAACAAAAAAAAAAAATTGACAAACTTTGTTATTATAAACAAATTTTTGCTGCCGGTTAAGTCCCTTCAAAGTTGAGACACGCACGTGTGCGGATTGTTTCAGAGTTTCCTTTGCATAAATTTAAAATGGGTTCTGGGTAAAGGTAACAAAAATTTAAAAGTGAAAGTTCGTACTTTAAGGGAGGTACTTAAAGAAACTACTTGGAAAGTTTGATATGCAAAATAGATTAAGTTTCGCAATAGTTTCAAATATTAAACTTAAGCCGATATCTAAGTTTTGCCAAAATTTAATATTAATATAAATATTATAAATATATTCTATCTAAATATTCTATCTAAATATAGTTTAAACATATTTCATTCATTTTAGACTTTTCACATCTAGACCTACACTAACTTGTTTGCCAATTTTAATGTCCAAACCTAAAACCCAAAGGTTTAACACCTGAAACATGAAAATAAATTAGCTAATTACAATAGCATGATTAGAAAATCCCATAGAGACAGCGCAAAGCTAGGGCATTACTCATACGCAGCATGTGACAAACATGTATATATATATATCTATATATATATATATATATATATATATATACCATTTTTTTAAAGCATTCGCATTGGATGTCATAAATATTTTTTAGTAGCAGCACGTGAGCCAAAAACGAAGCGGGCCAAAGAAAAGAAAAAGTCAGAAAAAGAAAATGAAATGAAAATCGATTGTTTTTGACCTCATAGAGCCGTAGCACACATTTGGAACGTAGAGGCATTAGGCGACAGTCGGCCACCAATTCTACACATTCGCGATTCTCATTTCGCGTTTCTTGTTTCTCGTTTTCTAGACGGGTGCAATGGCACTAATGAAGAAAAGGGGCAACAGAAATAAAAACGAAAACTGAAAAAGCAAACAAACACGCCATGTCTCGGCGTGTAGGTGTCTGGCTTATTCCCAGTCCCAAGATTCAAGCAAAAAAAGAATGAAAAAAAAAACGAGGCAGACAGCTTTAATTCTATTCTATTATAAATATTCGTTTTTTTTTTCTTTTCAAGCGTTTGCCTATTTGCAGGCAAATGAATGTAACACGCGAACTAAGCTCAGTAGCACAATGAACAAAATAAAGTAATGCCCGCGAAAGCCAATAAATTTGCACAACACCCATGGAAACCATGGACAAAAAAAAGTGAAAGCAAAATGATGAAAGCACATAGATATAAATATACATATATATATATATATATATATATATATATATATGGAATGAAATTGCGGCCCAAAAATATGCCCAGGAGTGCAGAAGGCGCCCAACATTTTTTTTAATTAGTCAAAAATAAATATTTCGGTGTCTCATGTGGGCGAAGTGCAGAAGTACTTAAGAAATATAATTGTTCTGCTCACTTGAAAATGTTATTAAGTAGCCTGTGTCATCATTTGTTATTTTTGTCCAAGCAATTTGGGCCAAAAAATACTTCAGATATTATTAAGCTATTTATATTGTGAAGAATTACTTGAGCCACTTCAAAATCTTTAGTCCACCTACCTTTTTTTCTATTTTAGCAAGGAAAATTTAAGCTATATACAAGTCAGGCTAATTTAAAGCGTATTTACACAAGTCTTGTTGTTTCTGAAAACTTGGTCCAAGACATATATTTACTAAGACAAATATTTTTGGCATAACTGAAACATATTTTTTTAATTTTGCAAGCCAAGTGGAATGAGAAATATTTAAGTTATTTAGAAGGCATTTTTACTTTTAACATTTTGTAGTCTATCAAACAATAAAAAACGTGCTTCAAATTATTTATACATAATTTTTTATATATACATACATACATATTTTTAAAATTTTTTAAATATTAAAAAAAAAAGTACATACACTTACTTTTAAATATTTTTCATAAAATCTCGGTTGATATTTTTAAACTTTAGAAATCTCTCTTTGTCAAGCAAAACTCATATAAATTTGGCGCCCGAATTAGGGCGCTTGAATGCGAACCAATCATTTGCTTGGGCCATGTCGAAGGCTACAAAAAAAGTCCGACATTAATGCGGATAATGAGCGACAGTCGTCGAACGGCACGGAACTGACACGGCCAACATGTCAGAATAGTAACTAAGCGTCACGCCCACTTCGCCCTGCACACTAAAAGGTGTTTTCTGTATAGGTTGGACGGGGACAGCAGGTGCGATTATAATCGATTGTCTTTTGGCATAAGCATGCACAGCACGGTCGAAACGAAATGCAGAGCATTATGGGCAATAACTATTCGAAACGTAGTTACCCTAGCGCAAAGATATAGTCAGACATATATACATATGCATAGAAATATATGTACATATATATGTGCATAGTTATACAATCAAACACTCACACACTCGCTTTGGCACGCTTAATTTCATTAATTAAGTTTTTCTGCTGTATGCTTTCCCTTGTGGCTCGCCGGAATATTTGCATCCGGAGCAGCGCGTTGTTTTTGCTGCTTGGCGTGTTGCTGTTGCAAATGTTCTTTTCATTATCGCTTACATGCATTATGTGATTTGGCCATTAATTGATTGGTTAGCTCTTTGGAGCGCGCATTACAAATGACGCAATTGGAAAAGTCAAATGCATTTGCATTGCCCGCCCGAGATACCCAACATAAAATCAACATTTGCTACTAACCACTTCAGTCTAATTAAATTTGTTGCACGTGTCTGCTGACTTACATGTTAAGTAACCCAATTACAATGTCGTCGTTGTTTTGCTCAAGGTCTAGGCCACATACCTGCAAATGCAGAAGAAGAACAAACAGAAGAGTTAGACAAATAAGCAATTAGACAATTTCAATTCCAATTAACTGATTTGGACAGTCAAATATTGTTATTTGTATATAATATATATATAGAATAATATATAATACATAAAAAATAATATATAAGTATTAAATGACTGTAACAATATGTATAGGTATTTGTTTTATTTTGAAAGAGTAAATCAACTTAGTATTCATTTAATATAAATTGTATTATTACGAATATTAATAATTTAATTAAAAATAATAAGAACAAAGCTAAAAATAATTAAATTATAATTTAATACAATCATTTTTAAACTTTTAAAGTGCCCGATGGACTGCATAATATTTGTTGCAAAATAGTTTTAATTAATCCACAATTAAGATTTGTTTAAAAAAGATACTTTCAAAGATTCAAAGATTTCAAAGAATTCACAAATGATTCAACCTAAATCAACCCAAGTCAAACCTCTTACAATATTATTAAATAACCCATTTCAGCTTGTAATAACGGAAAGCTAGTCTTCAGGCACTGGAAAGCATAAACAAATTGAAAAAAACAAACCCATTTTTTTTTTTCAATTACTGAGACAATCGACATTAAATAAGACTTACGGAACATATGTGTAGACCCAATACCGTTTCTTAAAGTGCTGGCAGCAATTTCAAGTGCTACGCAACGCACACGCAATGTGAATATAATATGAGAGATAAATTGAGTGCGTCGGTGAATCAAGACAAGGACGAGGCGGGGGCACAGCTGAGACAGCAGAGAAGCAGAGGTGAGCCGGCCAGAGCTGGAGCGCGCGCCTTTAAGTAGGCAACAAAAGACAAGCGCTAAAAGTTAACAGCAGCAAGCACTCAAAAGCAGGTATACACAAGCACACAAGACCCACCTGCACTACAGTTATATATTTATTTATTTATGCAAAAGGCAAATGGCAACACGTGCGAATTGCGCGCAAAATTTCGCTGCCTTCAGTTTCCTTACATTTTCAACATTTGACTGACTGCACTCTGGCAGGGAAAGTCGAAAGTTCGAGAGAGGATGGGAGATAGAACGATTCGTTGCTGAAATTCTGGAACACATTTCGCTTAACGAGCATATTCAATAGCACTTGTTGGTCAGGACAAACGCTTTTAGAGCTCAGCTACTTGTGCTGAATGTAATGAAAACACCAAAATGACTTTAAAGATGTTTGAATAAATGAAGAACTTATGAATATTCCGTAGCTGAAGTACATGTTCAGCACTCACAATTGACTATGTTTAGCTAACAAGCGATAAAGTTCTTACTCTCTCGCTCTCTTTCTGTGTCTGTTTTAAGTTTGAAACTCATCAAGTGCAGCAAGTAAAACTTTAAAAACGTTTTTTTTTTGAACTCTTAGGCAAACTTATGAACCTATGCAAAGTGAAGTCGTCATCTTAAAGAAATTTAAACTTTGCCCTCAAAATCATTTAAGCAGATAACTTCATAAGTCTTCCCTCTTCAGTATATACAAGCAAAGATAATTTTATAAATAGCATATGCTGCCGAAGGAAGAAGCGAAGTAATTATCTATAATATCATAGTCGGTGCTAATAGGATATCGAATACTCAATCATAGCTAAGCTATTCCCTTAACACATGCAACGAGCGAATCCATTGAGTAAGCAGTTCATAGTTTAAGTTTCGGCTGCCAAATACCCATTTAATCCTTGTTGTCAGCTGCTAGCAGCTACTGCGCTGTTCTCCTAACCAAATGCGAATGCGAGAATGTATCAATAGACAACAAAACTAAATACCAAAATACAACATACAACATACTAAGCAAAACACACTCGTGTACAAGCGTTGTACAATATTTGTATTACATTTTGTACACATTGTTCATCCTTATGGTCTTAGGGGTTCCTCGGTTCGGTGGCTTCTACCCAAAAAAAAAAAAAGCGAAAAACAAAAAACAAAAATCAGGGGCATCATGCAAAAAGCAACGCGGCGAGTTTTATGTATTTTTGGCATTCTTTTTTTTTTTTGTACTTTTATTGTACAGGACAAGAGTATGATAGGCAGGAGTAGGCATATTTCAACCCAGAGAATTCTATTGCTCTGTTATCAAAGCTGATTTCAATTAAAGATATTCCTGCTGGCATACATGTTAAGAGAGAGAGAGAGGGTATACGCTAGTCAGTCAGTTTGTACTATATCACTTTTGTTATTGTTTCCACGTATTATCATGGCTTGCATTGCCATTGTGCTCAAATGTACATGTATTTGTGTGCGCAGTTAATCCTATCAGCTAGAATGGCGATGCTCCATACAATCTCTCACTCCTTGTCCAATCCAGCGAAAAGATAAAATTGGCGAGCTTCTAGCATTTGAAATAGTATAACAAACCAATGAAGTGGAAGGCACTGGCAGAGCGAGAGCGAGAGACAGAGCCAGAGCTAGAGCCACATCCATAGCTGTACAAATATGTCTATAAATATTTGTCTGAATGCGTCTGTTCTTGTATTATACTCACTTGAGCGTAATCAAATGTAAACGAATCACATTATAGGCTTTTGCTATATTAGGTAAATGCAAAGTGTTTTAAGTGCTTAACAAGACTTTTATACCATTCTACTCCGTTTGCATTGACTATGACTCTTTACTATTTTACTTAAAATTAATAAAAGGCTTAGAGATTTAGATTGAAATTGTAAAATCAAATATTTATTTAGAATGGCTCAATTGCAATTTGAACAAAATATTAATTACATTTTTGTGCATGAAGCAAATTAAAATTGTAGAGCTGGCTACATATCGCCAGCAGAGCAACGAGAAATCAATAAAAAATATATAAGGAAATATTGTAAAACTCAGAAAGAGTTTTTTTTTAGCAGCTCTTGAGGGAATTACTTTTTTTTTTGCAATACTAAATAAATCATGTTGATGATTTGGCAGAAAGTGTGTGAAAATACAGGGAAATCTGTATTAACAATTCATAAAACCATTTTTCAAAAATTTGAATGATACATTTTAAAGCCTTAATTAAATTTTTAATGTACTACTTTGATTTTTTGATATGTGAATATCAAAAATATTTAAATATGAATTATGAGAATTTAATTTCAATTTTTTTTTAATAAAAAAATAATATAAAATTTATAAATTAATTGATTTAAATTAACTTTTTAAAATTAAAAAATTGTAATTAAATTATTTTTTAATATTTGTAAACAATACATATGTAAATTCCTATATTTATCTTATTAAATTTTAAACAAAAATGTTACTATTATTATTATTACTTTAATATACGATTTTGAAAAAAGTAAAATACATTTTTTTAGGATTGTTATGTTTTTGTTTTTAATTTTTCGAAAACCATAAATGTCGTGTAAATATTTATCTTTGTATTATACAATTTATTAATAAATATAAAGCTGTTACCTTAAAGACTTACAACACAAAATAGCTAATCAAAAATTTATAATCTAACTAATTATGCTTTGCTCCGTATTATTTTAAGTATATTTAATGTTGATATAATATTTTCCTTTAACTTACTCATTCACCTGTTACTCACATCAAGTTCAATAATTCAAAGAAATAATTTATTGATCTGAATTCTAGCTTTGTGATAGCTGAAGAGTTGACTTAACCAAGAATCGAATTACAGTCAGACAGAATTTGCCAGTTGGACTAGCTGTCCAGTTTCAATTACCATTTACTGCAATCAGCTAACTCATAAACCAGGTCCAATGCTAGGCAGCTACAATAGCCAAACTCTCATTTACATGTTTGTTCTCTTTGCCAGCTGCATACCAGCGACGAGGCCATGCGTGAGCCTCATCAAGCGGCATGAAGAGTTCAAAGATTGTCTGGCATAATGTTGCATCCAGTTGCAATTTGTATTTGTAGCAACGGAAAATTGGCACTTCGATCAGCTTCATGCCAGATTCCCATGAGAGTGCGAAAAACTCAATTTACAGCGACGTTCCTTCCAGCTCGCCATGCGGAAGAGAACTTTTCCTGCTCCAGACAAAGAGAAGAAGAAAGAAAATAACACTCCAGCTCTATTCGATTAACGACTGTGCCAGGAGGTGTGGGAGTACGGTGAGGTTGCTGTGGCGTGTGTTGACCAATAATGGGTGTGCCATTATAATAAATACTGCTAGGCCATTAGGAAATTGTGCAGGGGTATTCGAGGAAGTAGGAGCCTAAGCAATACGTAATTCGAATATCATCAGCTCTTGTTGAACAACCACAAATTGTGTTGGCCATCATCGAAGAATTTGCATTAATAAAATAAACTTAAAATCTAATTTCAGTCGCCTCATATATATATATATATATACATTTGTGGTTAGAAAACATTTTCGAATTACTTTTAAATGAAAACTTAAGAAACTTTTCATTAAAGTCTACTCAAGAGTTGAGTCAACTTCAATGTAATTCATTGAAGAGAGGGAGCTTGGCTTTTTCTGCTCAGGCACTTTAATTTTGAATGTTCTGGTTCTGGTTGGTCGCCTGTCGCCATTATATGCCTATGACAGCTCGCTAAATTAATGGCCATAAAGTGAATTGACTGAAATTAACTCATTAACGAGAGTGCCATCATCATAAAGTTGGCAAAACGTACTAAGCGCGCTCATTTCAAGAGCATTTAAATGCCTCTAAACATATATATACAGACTATATATACAGACTAAATATCAAGTCCAACAGGAGTGGGAAAAAACATAATTCTTAGTGCCAGTTCACGTGAAATAATTTCAAAGACTCTTGAGCGACTTCAACGCAATTATTTAAGGTGGTTTTATTGCCTACTTTGGACTTGAACTTTGAACTGGGCAGCAGCTAATCATCTTGCTGCATGCAACTGACAATTACAACGCCTATTAATGAAAGCAATTTGCGCGTGTTTAAAACAGCATTTGAGACGTCAGCTCGCTTAAGGCAGAGTAATTGCTACACCAGATTATTAAATGAAGACATTATGGCAACGCCTTGGCAGCGGCCAGCT